TCATTCTGACGTATGGCAAGCACCAGTTACATCCCTAGGCGGAGCAAAATACTTTGTCTCATTTATTGATGACTACTCCAAGAGATATTGGGTGTACCCTATTAAGAAGAAGTCAGACGTGTTTTCAACTTTCAAAAACTTCAAAGCGTGGGTGGAACTTGATTATGGAAATAGGATCAAGTGTTTCAGAACAGATAATGGAGGAGAGTACACAAGTGAAGAATTTGATGACTTTTACAGGAAAGAATGCATCAAAAGACATTTCACAGTGGCTAACACTCCTCAACGAAATGGAGTGGAAGAGCATATGAACAGAACCTTGTTAGAAAGAACAAGAGCAATGTTGAGATCTGTAGGCCTAGAAAAATCATTTTAGACAGAAGCAGTCAATACCTTCTGTTATTTGGTGAATCGAGCTCCATCAACTGCAATAGAGCTGAAGACACCAATGGATATGTGGACTGGTAAACCAGATGATTATTCAAACCTCCTTGTATTTGTAAGTATTATGTACGTGATGTACAACTCCCAAGAAATTTCAAAGTTAGATCCAAAAGCCAGGAAATGCAAATTCTTGGGGTATGTTGATGGAGTAAAGGGGTATCGCTTGTGGGATCCCACTGCTCACAAAGTGATCATCAGCAGGGATGTTATCTTTGTAGAAGATAAGCTACAAAGAAAAGAAGACGATGATAGCGCTGAAAAGTCAGAGACTACACAGATACATGTGGAAAAAGAGGTTGAACAAGGAGATTCGTCTGAAGCAGAACCAACACATGATGAACAAGAACCAGAGAGTTCTAAAGCTCCAATAACTCGTCAATCAAATCGTGTGAGAAGTCATCCCAATTGGTACTCAGATTATGTTATAGAAGGAAATATTGCATATTGCCTTTTAATAGAGGACGGTGAGCCATCAACATACCAGAAGGCAATAAACAGCTCTGATGCTTCACCGTGGATGGTGGCGATGCAAGAAGAAATTGAAGCCCTTCATAAAAATAATACATGGGACCTTGTGTCACTACCACAAGGAAGGAAACCAATTGGTAACAAATGGGTCTTCAAAATCAAGTGAAATGGTGACGATCAAGTTGAGAGGTATTGTGCAATACTGGTGGTAAAAGGATATGCTCAAAAAGAAGGTATTGATTTCAATGAAATCTTTTCTCCTGTGGTTTTACTAACAATAGTTCGAGTAGTTTTGGCAATGTGTGCTACATTGAACTTACATCTAGAGAAACTAGATGTTAAAACATCTTTTTTTCATGGAAATCTTGAAGAAGAGATTTATATGCTCCAACCTGATGGTTTTGAAGAAGGCAAAAAGAAGAACTTGATTTGAAGGTTGAACAAATCTCTGTATGGTCTATAGTAGGCGCCTAGGTATTGGTATAAGAGATTTGATTCCTTCATTGTGTGCCTTGGATACAACGACTTAATGCAGACCCTTGTGCTTATTTCAAGAGGTTTGGTGATAACGATTTTGTTATATTGATGTTGTATGTGGATGACATGTTGGTTGCAATACCCAACAAAGATCATATTGAAGAATTGAAGGCACAACTGGCTAGGGAATTTGAAATGAAGGACTTGGGATCAACAAATAAGATTCTAGGGATGCAAATTCACCGAGACAGAAGTAATAGGAAGATTTGGCTTTCAAAAAAGAATTACTTGAAAAAGATCTTGTCATGTTTCAACATGCAAGATTGTAAGCCAATTTCTACCCCTCTTCCTATTAACTTTAAATTATCCTCTAGTATGAGTCCTAGCAGTGAAGAAGAGGGGATGGAGATGTCTAGAGTGTCGTATGCATCGGCAGTGGGAAGTTTAATGTTCGCTATGATATGCACAAGACTAGACATTACACAAGCAGTGAGAGTGGTTAGTCGGTACATGGCAAATCCAGACAAATAGCATTGGAATACAGTAAAGAGGATCCTGAGATACATCAAAAGGACCTCAAATATTGCATTATGTTACGGAGGATCAAACTTACTAATCAATGGGTATGTATATTCTGACTATGCAGGGGATTTTGATAAAAGCAAATCTACTACAGGATATGTGCTCAAAGTTACTGGTGGAGCTGTAAGATGGGTTTCAAAATTGCAGTCAGTTGTGGCTACATCCACAACAGAGGCAGAATATGTAGCAGCTACACAATCCAGTAAAGAAGCAATTTGGTTGAAGATACTATTGGAGGAGCTTGGGCACAATCAAGAGTATGTCTCTTTATTTTGTGACAGTCAAAGCTCCTTTTATCTAGCAAGGAATCCAACATTGCATTCAAGGACAAAGCACATACGAGTTCAGTACCATTTCATTCATGAAAAGGTGGAAGAATGGACGGTAGATATGCAGAAGATCCATACCAAAGACAACATAGCAGATTTAATGACGAAGGAAATCAATGCTGATAAATTTACCTGGTATCGATCCTCCTGTGGCCTGTCAGAAACATAAGCAACATGAAGGTACAAGGTAGAAAGAATGGTGTGAAGATATGATTATTCCAATCAAATCTTCAAGTGAGAGACTGTTAAAAGTCAATTTTTGGTGGCCAACAATTGTTGAAAATTCAACAATTTTAGGTGTTTTTTTCAGTGGTGCATTAATGCACCGAAAATTTTAGTCAAAAAAGGGGGAAGATTTTGTTGATTTATTATAAAGGGATAATTACACTTTAGTCCCTATACTTTAGGGTATTTACAAGATTAGTCTTTAAGCTTCAACTATAAATACCCTATCCCATTTAGCTTCAAAACCATCCCAAATCATTCTAGCTTTCTCCCAATACTAGAGAATTTAGAGAGGTTTCTTGAGAGTTGTTTTCTCTTTTTTTATCAAGAGAGAATTATTATTGTTTTCTCCTTGTTAGATTGAGAGAAGTTGTAATTCCTATTTTCTCATAGTGAAATTCTTTTATCTTTGCCTGTGATTTTTACCATATATTATTTAAGGGTTTTCCACGTAAAATTTGTGTCTTCTTTATCTTCATTTTTATTCTCTCAAATTATCAGTTGCGATTTTGCTCTATCTGATAGCCGTATTCCGCAATAGATTCGTGGTCCAGAGCTGCATATGGTTACTTTGGTGATGTGGTTGAGGTCGATACCACTTGCTTGTCAAACAAATATGATATTCCTCTTGTGGCATTTGTTGGAGTAAACCATCATGGGCAATCTATCTTGTTGGGATGTGGTTTGCTTGCTGATGATACATTGGAAATATAGTTTCACTATGTAGGGCATGACTTACTTGTATGTCTGGTCATCCTCCGCGAACCATAATCACAGACGATATCAAGGCCCTACAAAGTGCAATATCTGAGGTGTTTCCCAGGGCTCACCGTCGACTGTATTTGTTGCATGTCGTGCAAAGCATTCTCGAGAATTTGAAAGCGTTGCAGAAATCTAGTGTTTTTCAAATGATATTAAATAGGACAGCCTATGAGATTATGAAGGTGGACGAATTTGTAATGGGCTGGGATGATATGGTTCGACGTTCAGAATTACAGATCATCCATAGTTTTGTACTCTGCACGAGGAAAGCGAACAATGGCCTCTGGTTTACCAAAAAGATACATTTTTTGCAGGGATGTGAACTTTTCAAAATGGTGAGTCCATGAGCTCGTTCTTTGATGGTTATGTGCATAACCAAACTTCTTTGAAAGAATCTTTTGACATGTATGAATTAATTTTGCAAAAACAAAAGTGAAAAAGAAGTTGTCAGTGATATCGAATCGAGAGATTCGAGTCTAATGTTGAAAACAAGATACTTTTATGAAGTACAACTTTTCAAGTTGTATACAAATGAAATTTTGCAAGAGGTTCTAAGATGAGCTTATGATGATGCCTAGTTTGACCATAACACAAAGTAATGCCGATTGACCTGTTATAACCTACATGATTTAAGAACATGATGCAGACGAAGATCGAATTGCTATCAGGAACTTTGAAGCTATGTACGTCAAAGCTGGAATGGAAATCCACTGCATGTGCAACTGCTTTAACTTCAACGGCTACCTTTGCCGACACGGTTTGTATGTCCTCAACTATGACGGCGTCGAGGAAGTCCTATTTCAGTATATCGTGTCTCGATGGCGGAAAGGTTTTAGGTGACTATTCATTCCCAATGTTGGATCTGATACCGTCGACATTAACAACCCCATTCAGTTGTTCGATCATTTGTATAGATGATTAATGCATGATGTTAAAGAAGAGATGATATCCCGAGATCATCATATGGTTGCATGGCAAGCGTTTCAACAATTTCTGAATAAAGTTCGACTTGTTACGAATAAGTATGCATAGTTAACTGTCAATATGCGCATGTGGCATCTATAATATCACTAGTTTTCAACATAATATGATTTTTTCTTGAAATTAGATTAGGTCATTTTACGAAATTTAAAAATCAATGTTCATTGAAATTATTAAACAAAATTGATGTTTTATTAAAAATTTAAAGTTAAATTGATATTTTATCCAATGTTTAAGATTAAATTAATAATTAATAATTTTTTGAAAATGTCATATAATTGAAGTGACAATAATTAATGATTCAATGTTCAAAATATAACAAATTGAAATTTTTTTCACGAACCAACTAATCTTAGTGGTTAAAGAAATTGTTGTTATTTCTAAAGGTCATGAATTCTAGTACTAGCGACTTCCGTAAGGTGATTGAGCGTTTATTGTGAAATGATTGAGAGTATTTAGAATATATACTACTTTGTAATCATCTTAACTTAATCAATATATATATATATATATATATATATATATATATATATATATATCTTTTTTATTCAAATTTAGTGATCAAAATTAGAGAAAATTAAAACAAAGTGAGCAAACTTATAGTTTTCACTAATTATAATCTACCTCTCCTAAGCGGTTTAAACGTCGCCGTCAACGCTCTCTATTCCACCAATCTAAAGTTCTAAACGGGAAACAGGTCAAAAGAAGTTCAAACCAAAAATTTAATTTTTTTAATTAAAACCCTAGAATTTGGGATTTTGATGCTGAATTCGAAATGGTAGGCAATTCGCTAGCTGGACTACAAGATCACTTGAAATTGGCTCGAGAATACGCTGTTGAAGGTCTCTACGACACTTCAATTATCTTCTTCGATGGCGCCATTGCCCAGATCAACAAGTATTTTTCTTCCTTTTCTTCGCTATATTTTTCTGTGATTTCTTCATTAATTTTGCTTTTCTTCTTTCGGCTCTGAATTTCGAATCTTCTTCATTGATTTGATTCACAATCAAGTTTGTTAGTAACTTAGACTGTTAAATAGTTATAGGAGAACTGTTTGTTTAATGGATTCATTTTTTGTTTTCTTTTTAATATCAAGAATTCTAGAAAAAATGTTAATTTTAGCACCTGTTATTTTTAGTTCCTAGATAAAAAATACTTTTAAATTTATTGGGTAATAATTTTCTTATTGCCTTAAAAATCTTGATATTGTGTAATATGATTAAATTTTTTGCGAACTTAATTTTTCTTTATGATTTATCTTTCATCATGTCCGTGTTATTCATGAAATAAATGGAAAACGCAATTAACTTATAGAGTATAGAATAAATAAGATCCCTTAATATGTTTTTATTAAACATTTGTAGCTATCATTTGAGTTAATTCTATAAAATTATTGAATTTTGTTATGCATTTTTAGGCATCTTAGTACAGTTGATGACCCTTTAATTCATTCCAAATGGATGAATGTGAAGAAAGCACTGTCAAAGGAGACAGAAGTTGTGAAGCAATTGGATGCTGAGAGAAGATCATTTAAGGAAGCTCCTAATGGGAGGCGTCCTTTTTCACCACCAATTAATGCTAAGTCGTCTTTTGTTTTCCAACCATTAGACGAGTACCCGACTTCATCAGGTGCCCCAATGGATGATCCTGATGTGTGGAGGCCTCCAAGTCGGGACACTACAACTAGAAGACCTGCGAGGGCTGGCCAAGTAGGCATGAGAAAATCTCCCCAAGATGGAACTTGGGGCCGTGGTAATACTAGGACTACAACTGGCCGTGGTGCAAAGGCTGGTGGTTCAAGTAGAACTAACACATGTGCCAGAGCATCTACAACTGGAAAGAAAGGCACTGGTTCTGGGAAACCTAGCAAAGGCGATTCAACAGTAAGTTCAAATTGACAAAAACTTCTGCTTGTTAATTTTGTCTTATTACAGTCTTTTGGGTTTGAATTTCCATATAAAAGCTAAGTGCTTAACATATTAAATTTCTCATGCATGTCTAGATGTTCTATCAATGTCTTAAATAAATTGTAATCCCAAATACTTACGTGACTTGATCAATTTTTTCCATTCTGAACTCAATTTTTTTAGTTTGATCGTCTCAAAATTTTGTGATTGATTTGTTTGTGCCTTTTTTAGAATGGTGATGCTGAAGACGGAAAGTCAAAGAGGTCACAGTATGAGGGACCTGATCCAGATTTAGCTGAAATGCTGGAAAGGGATGTCTTAGAAACCACTCCTGGTGTACGATGGGATGATGTTGCTGGCTTGACTGAAGCAAAAAGGCTTTTAGAGGAAGCTGTTGTTCTTCCTTTATGGATGCCTGAATATTTTCAGGTGCTTGCCACAGTTGCAGCTGAATTATCATTAAAGTCTTGTTTAGTAGAGGGCAGGGTTTCAAATAGCGCCCCGCTACCGCGATAGCGCCCGCGATTTCGCGGTAGCACTACCTTCCGCTACACCCGCGACGGCTGCAATAGCGCCCGCGACGACCGCAATCACGGAAAAAATGAAATGACCGAAAACGCGACCGCGATTTAAAACCCTGGTAGAGGGCATATAATATTGCCAGATCAATTCATGTTTCTCTCAGATGATACAGTATACGGCAAATACTAAATATGTTACTTATGACTTCATCATTTGATTTTGCATCCAATAAGGGATGTAACAACAGTAATCTAGTATACTTTTCTTCATATGTTTCTAAGGAATATGGAAACGTCATTAAGAAAGTTTTGTTTCCAAAATTCTAGAAAATTAATTTTCTGCGTCTTTTGTCCCTGCATACATAAGCTGCTGGATAGGATGAGTTATTTTATTCTTGTTTTTGTCTTTAGGGAATTAGGAGGCCTTGGAAAGGTGTTCTTATGTTTGGCCCTCCTGGAACTGGCAAAACTCTCCTGGCTAAAGCAGTTGCCACTGAGTGTGGAACAACATTTTTCAATGTTTCATCGGCTACATTAGCCTCAAAGTGGCGTGGGGAGAGTGAACGCATGGTTCGGTGCTTGTTTGATCTTGCAAGAGCTTACGCACCTAGTACAATTTTTATTGATGAGATTGACTCCCTTTGCAATGCTCGTGGGTAAGTTTGCTGCCTGTTGCTCTAGAGTTTGGCTATTACCTTTTGTTTATTCTTGATGTTTAAGATTCATATATGTGTGCACATTTTTCTGGCATGAAAGGAGATGAGGGGCATTAGTTTTTCATATATGTGCTGGTATTTCAATGTTTATCTTGATATTTCATGGTGGATGGAGATTCTTCCTTTTTCTCTAAAGCTTCATTCGTTCATTTACTTATGTTTTAAACCCTCTCTATAGGGCATTAGTTTTTTACCATTAAATGAAGTCCTGGATTTATTCTTTTCCAAATGGTCTCTGACTCTCGACTCTTCACTTTGATGCAATATTTTCAATTAGGGCTTCTGGTGAGCATGAATCATCTAGAAGGGTAAAATCTGAACTTCTTGTTCAGGTAGATGGTGTCAATAATACTGGAACAAATGAAGATGGTAGTCGTAAGATAGTGATGGTTTTGGCTGCGACTAATTTCCCATGGGACATAGATGAGGCTCTCAGGTAGGTCTTTAAGTTTGATGCGTTTTTTTTTTTTTTTTTTTTTGGTTTTCTTCAATTGATTGGATATCTTTTTTGCACCAAGTTTCATGTTTTAATGCATCTTATCAGTCAAGCTACTAGGTCAAATTACTTGTCTCATTGTACTCCATCACACATTGTAGGAGGCGACTGGAAAAGCGTATTTACATTCCTCTGCCTAATTTTGAGAGTCGTAAGGAGCTTATTCGCATAAATTTAAAAACAGTTGAGGTAATTTACTCTCAATAATCTATGAACTGTCTTGTTTATTTTTTAGGCCTTAAGATATTATTATTTTCTTTATTTGTGGCTTTCGTTTTGCCACATTTGATTTGTTTGTATTTTAGTCACAAGCTGCTCATATGATGGATCAATAAGATAAAAATCCAGCTTTTGGTAGCATTTGAGATGGTTTAACTTAAAATCGTGCTTTTTGGAGTCAAATAATGTCTGTACATATGTATGTACGAACGTACTAATATAATGTAAGCTGTATTCTATGCAATGATATTGATAGTAAATTTGGCAGGTGGCTACTGATGTGGATATAGACGAAGTGGCTCGTCGAACAGAGGGATATAGTGGTGATGACCTCACGAATGTTTGTCGTGATGCTTCCTTGAATGGCATGAGACGTAAAATAGCGGGAAAGACACGAGACGAAATCAAAAACATGTCGAAAGACGAGATTTCAAATGATCCTGTTGCGATGTGTGATTTCAAAGAAGCGTTGGTGAAGGTCCAGAGAAGTGTTTCTCAGGCTGATATCGAGAAACACGAAAAATGGTTTACTGAATTTGGATCTGCGTAAACAAAATCTAAATCCGTGGTTCCCCCCCCCCCCCCCGCGAGGGTTTATTGAGTTTTTTTGGTTTCCTGATAAGTGTGCATGAAAAAGGTGTTCAATTCACTGTCATTAATTAGATTGATTGGAATTTGATTTATTCATTTAAAAATGGTTGATTGTTTGTAATCCTAGTGTTTACGAATGTTCTTATGTTGTGGTGCTATTTGTTTCCTTAATCTCGTTGATCAAACCTTTATAATTCAAACATTTGATTTATTCGCATAATTATGTGTAGGAGCATAACATTGTAGTTTTATGAGAATGATTCTTTGATTTGGTGGGCCAAATACTTGTCCTCCAAATTCTGCATTGCCAATTTTAGATGTTTTGTGGTAAAGTGGTTGGCGGCCTCGTCTTCCCCATGCAGCAGCCCTAGGTGAGGTCTAGGTCTGAAGCTTTTATATCTTCACTTAACTTCTCTGAGCTTCCCATCTCTATACATCAACTTGTTTAACACATTTGTTTTTTTCTGGTAAACTACACCTTTAGTACCCCCAATTATCACTTTTATTCTGTTCTGGTCACCCAATTAATTTATGTTTTAAAATCATACCTAATGTTAGGTTATGCAACTCATTTTGCCTCCCCCCACCATTAAAAATTTAACGGAACACTAAAACAAAACTAAAGCATAACGTTAGATATGATTTTAAAACATAAGTTAATTGGGTGACCAAAACAAAACAAAAATAATAGTTGATGGATACAAAACTTATAGTTTACCCTTTTATTTTTACACCCTCATCAGTACAATAGCTTTTGATGATAACCAATTTCCTCTCTGTGAAGATGAGGACATATAAAGTAAACAATTAGTAAGGATGAAACCATTGTGGTGGCGAGGCGTGTAAAATGAGTTGCAGCATTGGGATTAAGATGAGTAAGAAACTCCTTGATTTCTTTGTCAAAGTAATTAGCTATATATAGTCTTTGTATTTTGTCCATCATATCCAACTTTTCATCAGCTATACCGACGTAAACAAACTTCGACCAGCTTGCTTAAGCTCCTCCAAATCACACGCTTCACTAGTGACACGTGTAAAAATATTTTTGAAGGTGAATATATATACGTTAGTAACATAAAAAATTTTAATGTATAAATATAAATAAAATTTAAGAAAAATTAATAACTAATAAAAAAATTTAAATTTTAATGTCCACCCTAAAATACACGTGGGTCTATCACGCCCATCATTGTCCTATTGAATTCGGCAGAAGCTGGAAGAGAAATAGATGATGCCATAAGAGAAAGTTCTATGATGCGGCACCCTTAATATACGGCTAAAAAACTCTCCAACTCACCTACAGATGGCTCCCACTTTTTGCACCAATAGACGATCAAATACCTAATGTTATCCATCAAGAAACTCTCTTAGTTAACTTGGAGCCATCCCTTAGGTGATCAACACCTCCTAAACAAAGTCATGCACCAGAAGATGGAACTCAGCTTTTAATGAAAACAGAGATACCGACCCCTATCTTCTCCTCGTAGCAGTCACTCTGACAGTGAGTTCCTACGATGACCTCAAACCCAAACTCATCTGTTGCAAACCATGATACAGCAACAACCTTATCGCCTTATTCTAGTTGATTTAAAACTCGGTCGAGCCTTCAACCACTAGAAGTGACTAGTTCGCTTCTACCTTATTTGCAAATTCTTGTCTCCCGTCGTAACTCACTTCTTCATCGAAACAAGAACATAGAAGATATTTCGAAGAAAAAGAACGAAATGTTTAAAGTGGTTTTGTAGATAACTTTTTTGGAATAAGACATATAAAGGCAAAAGAAAATGAAATTATAGATTTTACCCAACTTTCCTTTTAAATAACAGTAGGACAAAACTTTTCTTAATCGTTATAATCCACGCCAACGATCTACACCAATGATAAAGCAATCGCGTACAAGCTTCCAACCACTCGAAGTCAAACATAGGATTGTTTCCCGAGAAACTACTCCTTTAATGCAATAAATTTCTTTTTTATGTAAGTTTTGGTTCAAGTTACTTTATCACATTGCCTCTACCAATAACCTCCCTTACAAGACACACTTATATTACTATTGTTGGAAAATAAGCTACTGGAAAACGAGGCATTATGGAAAATATAAAATAAAATATATAAGTAAAGAATCGATTAGATGTGTCCTGATATTAACTTCTGTCTTAGAAGAGAATTTGTCCCGATATGTGTAACAACTACAATAGACGAATGGCCTTTTGAGGTTAGCTCAACTCTTCGAATTTTATACACGAAAAAAATGGAATGGACTTCGGTGATACTACGTTTCTTCAACTCAAATCAACACACAAGGAAAATTTTATGAAAACCAAAGAGTGTTTCAAAGAAAATGTCATTTGCTTATGGGATGTGTCAAATGAGAAGAGATGTCCACTATTTATAAGTTAAATAGTGAGGGAAAACCTATCATTCAATTCTACAATATTATTATGCTATCTAAAACAAAATTAAACAACAATAAAAATTCTTTAATTCTAAGCATTAAGAACATTCTCCCACTAATGCGAAAGAGCTCTTTCATAGAAATGAGAGCATTGAATTTAAAATACAAGAAGAACATTAACGAAATTAGTTGCTTAAGCACTAGTGACAGTATTTGGCACTAGTGACAGTATTTGGAACTAGTACACAGTGATGATGAGTAATTCTTCTATTAGATAAGTGAACGAATCTTGAACTTTCTAAGATTAGGGTGAACTCATAGCACACAACTAATTTTTCTGTGTCTACAAAGTATTTATCCGAATGTATATATATAGCCCTTTTTCTTAGGATTTTAGTAAGTATACTAGAAAAGCAGCACAATTGTTGAATAATCGGGTAAAGAAAACGGAAAGAACACAAGAATTTTAACGAGGTTCAGTAATGTACTTACATCCTCGGTGCCCTAGGCGGCGCTAGAATTTTTATTCAATTCAATGTCTCATAGGTTTAAGTTACATCTCCTTCTATAATAAATAAACCCTGGTATATATTTACAAAAATAACCTTGTACCATATCGTGGGGCCACAACCCTCGCACCCCCAAACCACATAATCGTAACCCCCAATACGAGACTTTCTCGGTATATTTATGAGTCATACCTAACAAATATCCACCTTGACGAATATCCCGCCCCTTAGGAAACATTCAATGTGGGTTGGGTTACCTTACTTCTTTAACAACTTGAAACACTCAACAAGTCCAAGCAATGCATGAACTTGTCTGTTGTAACTGGCTTGGTGAACATATTAACGGCATTCTCATCAGTATGTACCTTCTGAAACAAAATCTCTCCAGATGCAACCAACTCTCTGATCTTGTGAAACCTTACATCAATGTGCTTAGTTCTAGCACAATATACCTGATTCTTAGCCAAGTAAATAGTACTTTGATTGTCACAAAGTAATTGAACTCCACCTTGCTGAACACCCAACTCCTTCACTAAACCAGTAAGCCATAAAGCTTCTTTTACAGCTTCAGCTGCTGCCATGTATTCAGCTTCAGTTGTAGATAATGCCACAACAGATTGAACAGTAGACTTCCAACAAATAGGCCCTCCACCAAGACTAAAGACACAACCTGTCATAGATCTTTTATTATCCAAGTCACCTGCATAGTCTGAATCCACATATCCTACAACCAAAGGATTATCCCGCTGACTATCAAAAATAATTTCATGTCCCACAGTACCCTTTAAGTACCTAAAGATCCTCTTGACTGCTTCCCAATGTTGCTTACCAGGTTTAGACATGTACTTACAAACTTGACTAACAGTATGAGCTAAATCAGGACGAGTACATACCATTGCATACATCAAGCAACCAACAACATTAGAATACGGAACCTTTTCCATATCTTCAACTTCCTTGTCTGTCTTAGAGAACTGTTCTGATGAGAGCTTAAAGTGATTCGCCAATGGAGTGCTCACTGGTTTTGCGCTGCCTATCGCAAACCATTCCAAGAATTTTCTTTGCAGCACCTAAATTTTTCATATCAAAGTCCCGACTCAATAAAGTTTTCAAACCGATAACATCACCCATGTTCTTCGCAGCAATTAACATATCATTAACATATAGTAATAGAAAAATAAAAGAACCATCATCAAGGCTCTTAACATAGACAAAATAATCATACTCACATCGTTTGTAGCCAATCTTGATCATATAGGAGTCAAACCGTTTGTACCATTGTCTCGGAGACTGTTTCAACCCGTACAAAGATTTCTTCAATCTGCAAACTAAATGCTCATTTCCAGGTTGAATGAAACCTTCAGTCTGCTGCATGTAGACATGCTCCTCTAAATCACCATGCAGAAAAGCAGTTTTAACATCCATCTGCTCTAAATGCAAATCCTAACTAGCCACCAATGCAAGTACTACTCGGATTGAAGTGTGTCTGACCACAAGAGAAAAAATTTCATCATAATCAACTCCTTTCTACTGTAAAAAACCCTTTGCTACCAAACGAGCTTTGAACTTCTCCCCCTCTTTTTCTGTTACTACTGGTTTCTTCTTATACACCCATTTGCAACTAATAGGCTTCTTACCCTCATGAAGGTGAACTAACTCCCATGTACGATTGTGATTCAAAGACTCCATCTCCTCAACCATGGAAGCCATCCACTTATCGTTTTCATGACTAGTAATAGCATCATGAAAAGTAACTGGATCATCACTGCTAATAGTAAGTGCAAAAGAGATCAAGTCTTCAAAACCATTCTGTTCGGAGGCTTTATATTCATCTGTCTCACCCTGTCTCTGGCGAGACTGTAATCTTGCAAATCAACCATAGAGAAACCACCAGAAGTCGGTTGAGAAGTTTCTGTTTTCTCAACTAGAAACTGCTCGAAATCCACCATTGTCGTGTCTTTCTTCTGCTGCAACATGGGTTGTTCATCAAAAACAACATCTCTGCTGATCACAATTTTCTTCGCAACTGGATCCTAGAACTTGAATCCTTTGACACCTTTCCTGTAACCCAGAAAAATGCACTCATTCGATTTTGTATCAAGTTTGGATCTCTCATCAGCATGTACATGCACATAAGCAGGACAACCAAAAATCTGTAAGTGATCAAAAGTAACATCATGACCAGTCCATACTTCTTCTGTAACTTTCCCAGCCAATGATGCCCTTGGCGATCTATTGATAAG